ACGTGAAGAGATAAATAGATATTCCCGTGCGCCTGTGGCCATCTGCGACAATAATAGGGAAAAACTGGAGTGGAATATGCGCGTTTACTTTCTCTCTCTCTCTCTCTCTCTATATATATATATATATATATATATATATATATATGGGGTGGAGGGAGGGAGAGTTTCTGCGGAGGCTTTCGTATATCCCTTAAAATTTCTGTTCGAGGTAAAAATAAACTTTTTGCGGAAACAAGCTACCGACCTCGGCGGACGTTCGAGGGTGCAAGAAGCCTACTAATGAAAGAAATAATTCGCTAAAATGTACTCATTTGTTTTTTATTTGTGAAAATAAGCATATGATTGCAATGAGAAACTTGATAAGCATCATCGAAAACTACTACATGAACTCTTTGTAGAAATATACGAGGCATTTTACAACGTCCTGGAAGAAAAAAAAAAGAAGAAGAAAAACGTTCGGTCTGACGCTTTTTGAGGTTTCTGTTATTCTTCGCAGCGCTGCGCTCGCGGTCCTGCTCCCCGGTGGTCACGGCGCAAAGCCAGCGCCTCGCCTTCTTCGTAGGATGGAGGGAAGCAGGGATGGGGCAAAATACGTGCGAATATGTATCGAAATACAAAATACTTTGTCAAAAACGTATTTAATTACAAATCTAATTACATTTCCAGAAAAGAATTTAAGTACAAGATACAAATACAAGATACAAATACAACCAGATGTATTTGGTCTCCTCCAAATACTTTTCCAAATACATTCCTCAAACTTTGCGTCAGCGACTTCGGGGCACCTGCAACAGGTTTCTGGGTATCTCATTTTAATTTTGCATCGCACACTCGGGAGTTGGTGTGCGAGGCTCTAATAACGTAATAGAAATATAATCACAAAAAAATGTAATCAGCTTGGACGTAATAGGTGAAAAAAATACAGAGCTTCAAGCAGCTTTTTTTTTTTTTTTTGTCGGTTACATTTTGGTATAGACCAACAAAGACCCGAGACGACCAAAACGCGCAGCACTAGCTAGAGAATTTTTTATTGTTCCAACTCGCACCAGTTACGAAAATCTGGACGACCCGCGCATTTAGAATGTTTTAGGCAAAAATATGGATGGAAATCAGGCTGGAAAGCATCACAAGCTGTCACAGGCACTTGTTTAGCCAGGCTGCCTGTGAACGTCGATTTGGTCACTATTCTTGCCTTGGACTAGCACGTACCGTAATCAAAAAATCACTAAACGCTTGTGCTTGATTGGCAGACACTGCAATCGGTGCAGAACGTCGTTTTCTTCCTGCTCTGGACAGTGACAATAAATTTGAGGGATGTATTTTCGCACACAAAATTGTATTTAATTACAATTGTATTTGAAATACCCACGTTTTAGTATTTAAATACACACGTTTGAACCTCTCAGCCTCTTTTTCTTTTATTTCAGTCACAGACCTGCGTTACGTGTAAATTGTAATGCATCGAATATAAATGAATGTCTGTGTTTACCAAATACCTTACCCTGCAAGGAGGCACGAGTTGAGTTTTTTTTTTTTTTTTTTCTTTTACCCAAGTAACGGAACTTGAATATGTTTTCCTCGTGTCGTGTAACGTTCCGAACCCCGAGCAAAGGATTTGCTGACAAAGAGGCGCCTCGGGTAGAATTTTCTCTTCCAAACTAAACTTCCAAAGACGATTTTTTTAGGGCTGTGCGAATAGTGATAATTCAATTTGAATCCAATTTGAATCGAATAGTGCTGAGTAGTTGTCCAAACCTCGGAATGTCGCATCGAATATCGAATTCCAAAACTTTTATTCGCAATGCGCAAAAACTAAACAATAATCGCCTAAAAAAAACAAAAAAACTTTACGTTACTAAAAAAAACAAAAACTTTACGTGTTTATTTTATCGTGAGCTAGCCGAACGCAAAGCGACCAGCACGTATATAGAAAAACGACACATTTGAGGTACAGCTAAAGTGTGCGTTACTTCACCACACCCATCCATTTAAGCGGCTGAACTCTTTAAATCGTGGTGACGTCTTCCGCCACCTTGCCGCGGCACCTCGCTTATAGCCACGGGAAGCGACGCGGGTATTTGAGTTCTAAATTCTCCTAATATATGAACGCAACAAATTGGCACCACACAGATTTCGCGGCCGGTTTTTGTGGAGAGTGTCGAACAAGCTCGAGTGCGGCTGGTTTGTTTGAGGAATGCACACAACGTACGCTACTTCTCGTGTTTGTTTTGTTTTTTAATGGTTAGCTACGTAAGACTTTAGCGCAGGCCAGATTTGAATCCAGCCTAGGCCTACGAGGACATTGTCTCGCCATAGGGACAGCGCTCTCGAATAAACTCGGAAGTTTGTCCAGCGGCATATGACGGGCCGAGTTATTCGAATACTGGGAATTCGGAAATCACGTCGAATTATTCGGGCCATCCCCATTCGATCGGAATTCGAAACCCTAATATTCGTGCACTTTTTTTTAACGAACGAGGAACTTTTTTAACGAACTTATCCCTCGGAAATCTCTCGGCACTGAACTGTTCAAGCGAGAAAGACCCAGAACGCGCGGTGATAGTGTCCGCGTTAGCGGTTTCGCGCACTAGTTGATCGTTTCCTCCGTCCTGCGAGGCTCCTTTGCCCGAAATCCGGAAATCTGCAGACGAGGCTAGCGGCTCGCACGGGCAGAAAAGGGCCTATGAAAACTCGGGCTATTATTGGTCTTTGGTAGAGTTGTCTGCTGCGTCTGGTTGACAAACGACATCGAGCAGTTTCTCTTCTTGTTTTATCGCTCCCCTTTTAGGACGAAGCATCGGCGCGAGCTTCTCACGGTGTCGCCGCGCGGGCCGTGTGAACCCTGGCGTAATTTCACTCGGACCCCAAATCTCCTTCGTCCCCGTTCACAGCGCGGCGGCGGCCCCCTGATATTATTGCGGGCCGCGTCGTATCGCGGGCGCACGACGGCGGAAGATAAAAGTGGCCGCGTAATTGTGGCGTTTGCTCGCGGTCGCGCTAAATAAAGCCGCCTGTGTCTCTCCGCTGCGCGGCGTCGACCGCCTGGAGTCCGGAAGCCGCCTTTGATAGTGGGGAGGCGCCTTCGAAGTTCCTCTTTGAGGGGTCCGCGTGCCCCGGAGCCAACACCTAGGAGACAAGGCGTGCGCGTGACGTCATGGTTAGTAGATTCCCGCCCCAAGCGGCGAACACGCTGAAGCTCCGCGAGAGACGCCGCAAAGCGACGGACGCGTCCATCTTGGCTGCGTCCTGGCGATCGTTCTGAGACGCTGTAAGACGCGCTGGCGGCTACGCGAGCTATGCGCCCAGAAAATGGGGGAAAGGCCGCTTTATTCAATTTTCCAGTATAACTCGCAGGTCTGATTCGAGGAAAAAAAGAAACAGATGCAGTAGGCCGCCTAGGACAATCACGACTTTAACACGCTACTTTACCGATAGTAATAATCTTGCCACCCCCCCCAACACACGCACGCACACAGGCACATTAAGTCGCAGACAGTCGAAATACTTGACCCCCTCCCACTCGTAAAAAATTTTTGGCTACGTCAGTGGCAGCGGTGAAAACGCCCTTTTTCCGCAATGGTGGCAGAACGGGAAGCAGAACCTTCCAACGTATACTACCCGCAAAATTCACGACGCGCGATCGACGAGGCATTATCCTATCGTCGGTCCCGGGTTTCTCCTTTCGGCCCGGACCCTTCGGCTCCGGCGGTATATTTAGCGGGAGCGACAGTCGCTGTCATCTGCTCTGCGGGAAAGCCCTCCGAGAGTTTTGTTTTTATTTCGGGGGCTTTTCTCTTGGGCGGGCCGGGTCTCTCTCGAGCAGCTGTCAGTGACGTGTCCCATAAAGGCGCGCTTGTCGCTGGTGCTGCGCACGGCTCTACGTACGACGCCCCTTTTCCCGAATGCCCGCCTCGGATGGGTGGGGGTTCGCTGTCACCCTCAAATTCAATCGCACACCCTTTCCAAAGGTGCGCGTCGTCTAGTAGCTGCTGCGCCAATTATCCAAGTCCGCCACCGTCCGGGCGCGTACACTCTGACAATGGGGGGCAGTGAGGACAGTTATCGGACAGAGGGGCAAGGAACAAATGAAATACATTCCACAGCAAATCACTGCTGTCGAATTTCGGTAACGAGTAACATATTTAGTTACTTTCGTAGAAATGGACTTTTGAGGAGTGACGCGTGCAACAACGTTTAAACAGCCTCGTTTGAATTCTAACCTCAGTATGCGTCGCGTATTGCGGCCAGGGCAGATGGGCAACCCGAAAAAGATGAAACAGTACGACAGTACAGCAACGTTTATCAAAAGAACACGTGAGTCGAACTCTCCAGCTGGGAATGTCCTTCACTCAGAGAACACAATATAAGGTTCGTTCGTTGAATCTTTTCGAACCTTGCACAGACCGAGCGTAAACCCGGAGCTTGCCAACGCGGGAAGGCATAGAACCCATTGTCAACTTTGAACATTAGAAGCAGAGAGAACAACAGACAGAGAGAGGGGAATTCCAGATTCACCAGCTCTTGCTGAAGCACACTGCCTTTCCTTTGAGCGCGTCAGTAGAACGACTCTTCTGCATCGCCGGAGGTGTATTCGCAAGGAGGCGCCGGAAACGTAACCGGTGAAAATTTCGAGAGGCAGCTACTGCTTAAGTGCAACGACTACTGAAAAGAATACAAGCCACGAAACAAAAGCAGTCGTGTATTTGGTCGTCAAAGTACCGAGAAAGTAACTTGCTACTTTTGAGATAAACTAACGGCATTCCTTTTGAGAATCGGCAACGTGTAGTGCATTTAGTTACTTTTTGAGGGAGTAACGAGTAACGGTATTTAGTTACTTTCTTGAGGTGACGTGTACGTGTGTGATTGTGATACATGTACTGCACGTGTATTTTCCCTGTCTATCTTCTTTTTTTTTTTTTATTTCAGTGCGCAGATTTCGTATTGCACTTGTCTGTCATGCAGCTTGCACATGCTAATTTTTCCGAATCTTGTCTTTGCAGCACGGCGTGGTGGTAGAGTTCGAGTGCGTGCATCCCGACAGTACGAAACCCAAGCTACACGATGTCCACGTTGTCCTGGAGTCTAAAGAGAGCCTCGTGAGTAAACTTTTATTCATACTTGTTTTTAACGCAGGTTGTGTTTCATCAGCCGATTCCCACGGAGCTCTCTAATATATTTGGCTGTAACAGCCGGCTTTAACGAGAAACGGACACCGTAAAGTTTTGCGGCCACGAGGAACCCATATAAAAAGATTTCCAGATCCCTCCTGCAAAAACTATAGACGCTTTGCAGCAGCTGTGAATGGGCGCTGCCATAACTGACCTTCAGTTTCTGTTTCCCCTTATTATGTTTACTTCACTTCATTATTACCATAGCAGGCTAGGTCACTGCCATCCTAGATTTTATTCTGTCTTTCTCCCCAGCATTGGCTTTTGTGGAGGCTCATCCACACCAGTTTCAGTGGCTCGGTATCTCGGTAAAACAAGAGAAGGTCAGCAATGGCGGCTGTATTCTGGCGCGTGTGTAAAGCGTGTATATATGTAGGTGATGTTCTTTTGGTGTCTGCAAAAAGGCTTATTTAGGAAGATCAATGACGTTCGCTATGATTAGAGTATAAATTATGTTTGAGCAATTGGTTTTTAATATGTGAATTTAAAGATTGTCTTTAATTAAAAATGTTTGGACATTCTGAAAAACCACTAAATCGGCACAGCTTACAGAAATATAACGCGCGTGCAGATAGTTATGGCGTTCAAGAAAAAAATAATCTTTATTTGGACAGGTTTTTAGGTTTTGGTTTTCTATCGGAGCGCATTTCCGCGCCAGCAGTCCTGCCCCCGTGGGAATGCACAAGCCAGCGGTACGAAACGATCCGTTGTTCGGATAACATTGCAAGAATAAGCTTCGATTATTGGTAGGTTCACCTCCGTCATGCGCAGCATGCTTGGAGGCGCATGTTAGTTGTGCGCTTTGGCCTCGGGGAGTCGGACTGCTTGCACTGAGATGCATTTTGATAGGAAACCAAAACTTCAAAGCATGTCCCCATTGAGCATTTTCCTTTCTTTCGAAACGTCATAAAGTTTGGTTGCCTTGTGATCGCTTACGATGAAAGAATACACTGGCGCCGTCTATGGGTGGCCCTGGAATACTCGCGATTCTTTGTGTGTCAAGCTTGTGTGTCCCCCCCCCCCCCCCCCCCCCCCCTCGTTATTATCACGCAAACAATGTTTGTTCCGAGATAGTCCGAGATAGACGGAATGGGGCATACCTCCAAGAATTTGACTTTCTAGCCTTTCGTATCTGTCTTCTTAGCCGACTGCAGGGTGATTCAAGGAGAGTCCAGGCTCTTTTAATCGACCGCGAAATTCGGTTTCTTAAGCGCTACGACTTTGTGCGGCGTTGCCCACAGATGGTGCATTTTTTTTTGTAAAATTTGCAAAGAGCGAACTTACCTGAGGAAAAAGTAAAGAAAGAAAAAGGCTTAGCTCCTATGGAAACGCAGCGAAGCCACCGGTCTTAAAACAACACGGCGCCGTTTCGCACGGAAAACGAGAGATGGCGCAAGCGGTCGCGACGCCAACTGCCGCCAACGAACGAGCATACGACGCCTAGAGCCGGCGTCTTTAGCAGACAAGGAACTGCAGTTCCTTGTTGTTACCACGCCTGTTTTTGTCGCCGCCTGCGGAACGCGCGCCGCTTTTGAGTCGAAAATATCGCGCGTTAAAGACGCCGGCTCTCGGCGCCGTATGCTCGTTCGTTGGGGTTGTTCGTTCCGCCATCTCTTGTCTCCCGTGCGAAACGGCGCCGTGTTGTTTGAAGACCGTTGGCGTCGCTGCGTTTCCATAGGAGCTAAGCCTTTTCTTTCTTTACTTTTTCCTCAGGTAAATTCGCTCCTTGCAAACTTTACAAAAAAAAAAAAAAATGCACCATCTGTGGGCAACGCTGCACAAAGTCGTAGCGCGATAGGTTAACAAACCGAATTTTGCGGTCGATTTAAAGAGCCTGGCCTCTCCTTGAATCACCCGGTAGGTTCAAAGACTGCCACCCTGTTTTTTCCGAATTCGCAGACGGTAACAACGGGCATCACCTGCGAACGAGTCATACTTGTGATAAAGGTGAAGAGGCCAAATGACGCTGACAAAGCGATGCATCGCTACAATCTTCTCGTCGAAAAGCTGAGTGGAAAGGTAAGACACCGCTAGTTCGCTACGGTCACTGACGAGCTGAGGGCGTCAGGGAGGGGCTGCAGCTGTCCGGCCTCCGACGCGAGCTTCCTACCTCCGGCAACGCTTGGGCACCTGGTGCACTTCAAGCGTGCACGTGCCAGAGGCCTGTCGTTCGAAAAACCCGCCCTGTCATTCTCATTGGGTCAGTAACTATAAAAAAGAAAAAAAACTAGAATAAAAAATGTATTTTTTTTCTACAGTATTTAAATGGAACCTATGTTTTTTTCCCCTAAAATTTTCACGAAAAAACTTTTTTTGTTGCAATATTTAAGACGTTAGGTGCAGTTTAGGTGAAGTTCACCACCCGCTTTAGGTGCCCACAGAACGGTTGCCCCGCCCATGACTACTGGATTGGCTTCTGTTCGGCTGAACACCTTCACAAGCCTCATGTCTCCCTGTCGCGACGTCCGGTGCGTGTAGTCTGCCGGATGACACCGCCTGCTAGTCGTGCGGGCAGACGCACGGCAGCGTACGGCGTCGTCTGCTTTTTTCTTGCGTCCAAGAAAGTGGTCCCTCGATTTCCGCCCGATGACGTCATACAAGTGTCATGCTGTCGCCGGTCGCAATCCTGGCGGCGTCCCAACAGCTGCGCTGTATGCGGCAGGCGCCTGTTCTGCTGCAGGTCGCTCTCCAGTGGCAGTTCAAGGGAACTTCGGCAGTCAGACGCCGTGACGACAGCGACACTCGCGCTCGGGTGTGCTACTCGCAGCTTCTCGTTAGCGTTTCTACGACTAATTGCCAGGATCGCGAGCGACATGCAACGGCATGACACTTCGGCTTTCGTGACGTGACTCCGGGACCCTTTTGTTGTATGGGCAGCATATATAGGACGCTAAACATACCAGTCAAAGACATTCTCCAGGCTACCACCCATGGAACGCCCGTAAGACGCAGCCACGAAAACGGTGCGTCTGCGTCCGCCATCGCTTGTGTCCGTCTGTTATCCCCCCCCACCCCCCCTTTCCTCTCCTCTAAAAACCGTTTGCGACGCTCGCAAGACGCAATCATGAAACGGCGTTCTAGCATGCACGAGTCAAGGTCTAACACAAGTCTGTCAGCGTCTGTCGATATGCGCTAAAAAACGACCAAAAGAACTAAAAAGAAAAAAAAAAAGTCAGCAAAATAAATATAAAGATTTTTCAGATTTTCTGTCCGTGTTTCCTTTCATAGCGTCCGCGAGCAAGGTGGGTGAGTGTCATGACGAACGATTGAAACGCTAAAAACTTTTAGAGCTGCTACCTTCCGAAGTGAAACCACGAGACCTGGACAAACCTGGTTCGAGGCGAACACCCGATTTCTTCCCGCCAAGTGGTTCGCAATTCTTACCTGTGTAGGAATTACCTCTTGGTACTGAAACCACGGTCGCCATCACAATGGTTCCACGATTCTCAAAGTAGGGAGGCCGCTTTTACGGGATCCGACACATTTATATTCAGCATCGAAACGCGCAAACGAACAAATCAAGCCAGTCAAAGCAAAATAGTTAACGTGGGACGCTAGGTTTACGCCAGTCTCACGACGAAAACAAGCACTTACACAGCGCTTCCGAAGGTGTCTACTTGCCCACAGTAGTTTGCTGTGAACTACGTCGGTTGAGTATATCTTCCTCTAAGCACCTGGGTTAACGCGAAACTACTCTTTCTCTCGTAAAAACAAGCAAATTCAGCGAGCTACGCAAGTTTCTTCGTTTGAAGGATAAGCGGAAAAGACGATCTCGTGAAATTTTCGAAAGCAGCAATGATCCTGTTTTTCAAACTCAAAAGGAAAAGTCAAATAAGAAGACTGCCGTGGCTCAGAGAAACAATTCTACAATGGACCATGCCACACATCAATCATCTCTCCAATAAATGAGAGCCGAGAAATGGAGCTTGGCTTGCTACTCTCCTGGACGGGGCTTAGAGCGTTCTACCTCGACCTAAATTGTTTCTAAAAACGTATAATTATTGAACAAAAAATTTGAAAAAACAAAAAACAAACAAACAGATGTGTGTTTTCAATAAGATCTTTAAAAATGTTTTGTTTCTTAGATATATGCCATTTTTACTCGGCTGCTGCCATCTTGAATGGTGAAACTTTCCATATGGGCGAAAACATTATTTCGCTCTTATGCTCTCAGAAAGTTTTCGCTTTTGATATATATATATATATATATATATATATATATATAATATATTTTAAAATGCCATTGTTTCTTGTTTGTCTTCATCTATAACTTTTACTTCTCCACGTTGAATTTTTTTTTATTTTCTTTTTGTCATCCATACTTAGGATTCTGCGTTTTCGAATAAACCTGAGACCCTCCCACCCTCTCTCCCCCTCTCTCTCTCTAAAAAAAAAACACTTGTTGGTAAAATTTGTATTTATCCGATAAACTCCGAATTTCGATATCCCAAGGCAATAAAAAACGAATTAAGTATGCTTAGAATACAGGGGCAATGGTCCTGAGCAAATACGACCTTAGTTTCCTTTCAAATCGCCGATCATTGACAAAAAAATGGTCTTGCCGTTTATCTCGTCAAAGTTCATTCGGACGCATGTTATTGTATGCTTCTAGGTTACGACGACGGAAGCTACTGTTCCGGTTTCCAGTTCAGCCATACTATTTGTGCTTCTTCACCCTCTATTCCACCCTCTACCACTCCACCCCGCGCAGCCGCATGGTAGGCTGATGAAATGGGCTGGGGATGAAAACGAGCTTCCCACCGACTACCTGCAGGACTTAAGGGGTTTTATCGGTGCTTATCGAAGCAGCCCTTGTTTGCAAGTCTTGTTGTTGGACAGATTAGTATTGTCAATAGCAAGACCGCCAACGCCAAATCCAGGCTCAAAATTATTATTCGTTACAAGTATTTTTTTTTTCTCATTTAGCACATTTTAACATTGTTCTTATTTTGTTTTTAAAGAAAACACTGTGAAGTTAAACTTTCAATTTTGATAAAGTGGGAATCAAACAAAAACAAATTCCGATAAATTCCGAATTTTTGGCAAAAAATCAACTCCGAAAACACGGAACCCTACACGAGTAAGCGAAAAAGGTCCACACACTTTGTGTCGGCATGCGATGGACTGAAGGTCGAAGCTACGGGCTGCCAGGTCCGATCGCAAGCCAGTGAGAAACCACCCGGTATATCGCTATGGCACGCATACCGTTTTGAGCAGGCTCGGGATTTAATCTGGCGGCCCGTAGCATTGGCTTATAGTCCATCGTACGCTGACACAAAATGTAGTGTTCATGGGGACCAGCTTTGGTTGTTTTTTTGTTTTTTTTAATTATTATTGCAAAGCAATGCATTCATTTCTTGACCCTCTAAAGGAAAGGCTGAGCTGTTTGACATCTTAACCCTGAAGAATCATATTTGTGGCTGTCTTGCTACGACAGTAAAGTGATTAAGTGAATTCTTAAGTTTTCTATAATCATTGCCCGAATGATAGCTGTGGTTTTACAGTTGTGAATTAGAGGGTGTCCGTATTTCAGCTCAAGGTCTGCTGCATCAGCACGGAGCAACTTTTCGTCGTGCGCTTCGTTCAGCGACCCGACATTAAGGTCTCCCTGCAGTCGGGAACTGGAGAAAACGTAAGCGTGTTTTTTTTATTGGCTTTTCCCTTTTTGTTTTGTTTTGACAATTTCCGAGTTTGTAGTTGTGGGCACTTGTAGAAGAATTAAGCATAAATGACGTTTGTTGGTAGTACGCTATGCATTGCACATCAGAATGATGAATATTTTAGCAAACTGCCGTAACTTGTTGTCAATGTTTCGTTAAGGAACTTGACTCTGAAGAAGACAAGGTCTCCTAGAGGTATGTCGGATGCCACTCTGAAAGTTTTTAAGTTCTCTCCACCAGCTTCGATAACCCCCAGGATGCACATCCCCATAATGGACTGTGTTGTAATTTCATTTACATATTTGTGAAAATGGGGTTTCCAGCGTGTACCTGTCTAACAAATATTTATATTACATGTCTTAATGAAAGTCCACAATGGTATAGTGCTCATACCTTATCCACAATGTCTCCACCAAATGTTGAGATAAAATAAGTAATGTTTTGAGGTAAGTTGGAGCGTAACAATGTAAAATTAAACTGAAAAAAAAAAAAAAAAAACGGCCACACTAGGGTGTAGTAAGGTGAAACTTCCCTTCGTAAATAAATTTATTAGGCATGTGCACATAGTGGGTGTTGAGTTCGAAACGAATTCGAAGCGAATAGTGGTTTAGGCCAGATATCTTCGAATTGAATATCAAATATTATCTGCCAATCGTTCACTACTTTCGCACCACATTTGAGCGAAGACCCAGCTGAACTTGAGTCAATTTTGATCTAACCATACGAGTTGTGTCTTCAGACGGTCGAATGCTTACATTGGGGTGGCAAGGAAACGACGGACTTGACGTGAAATATAACCTGCAGAGATGCCCCGCCATAGGCCAACGCGCTGTTTCCAAACAGGCCCTCACGAGGCGTGGGCAAAAGCGCACTTTCCGCGCGAGGTGTGGGCACTGCGCGTGCGCAGAAATCGCGTCAAGTGGAGCGTCTGCACATGTGCCCTGCTAATTGCAGCGCTACCGCAGCGGCTAGAGTTCCTCGATATGCTCCCCCGAAGGGGGAGCAGAGTTGCGCATTTGTTTTCCCCGCACCGCCACGCCGTTCTTCGCCGAGATCCATCACGCGAGGAGCAAAGCGTCCGGCGCCGTGCAAAAAAGCCACCTTTTTTACGGTCTGTCCGCCGACGTTTCTCGCGCCCCGGCGTATGTTCCCCTGCTTTCCGCCTCCTGTTTTCCATGCGCGGCGGAGTGCGCAGCGCCGCTATTCGCCAAATTTAGTCACGTGAGGAGCAAAGCATCCAGGGCGTGCGGGAAAAGCCGGCGCTACGGTCACTCGGCGAGGCTGAATGCGCAACTCTGCTACCGTAGGTAGCTATATACAGGAACTCTAGCATGGATGGATGGATGAATCCGGCTGAGCCCTTTGGATCGGGCGGTAGCTTACGCGACCTAGCCATTTTGTTTTACCATTTAAGCTTAGAATATTTAAATGTGAAATCTATATTCACTCCGCACTGCAAAGAAAGTGAGGCTATAAAACCCCCTTGCCATCAGTTAATAAGAAAATGCCCAATTTTCTCTCGCTTTCTGCCACCATTCACTTAATCTTTGCTTGGTAATCTCTACATTCTTGAAATCCACTCTCCCTTCGCTGTCTCTAAAGCCCAATGACTTTATTAAATCTATGTCTAATCGAGCATGGATGGATGGATGGATGAACCCGGCTGAGCCCTTTGGATCGGGCGGTAGCTTACGCCACCTAGCCATTTTGTTTTACCATTTCAGCTTAGAATATTTAAATGTGAAATCTATATTCACTCCGCACTGCAAAGAAAGTGAGGCTATAAAACCCCCTTGCCATCAGTTAATAAGAAAATTCCCAATTTTCTCTCGCTTTCTGCCACCATTCACTTAATCTTTGCTCGGTAATCTCTACATTCTTGAAATCCACTCTCCCTTCGCTGTCTCTAAAGCCCAATGACTTTATTAAATCTATGTCTAATCGAGCATGGATGGATGGATGGATGAACCCGGCTGAGCCCTTTGGATCGGGCGGTAGCTTACGCCACCTAGCCATTTTGTTTTACCATTTCAGCTTAGAATATTTAAATGTGAAATCTATATTCACTCCGCAGTGCAAAGAAAGTGAGGCTATGAAACCCTCTTGCCATCAGTGAATAAGAAAATACCTAGTTTTCTCGGCGGTGTGACCTCAGCGCCGTCTATTGGTGTATTCGTAAACCTTCTTGCTATACGCTAGAGTCCTTTCTTCAATTTCGACTTTGAAGAAAAAAAAGAAAAGAAAAAAAAAAACATTTACGAATGATGCATGTTAGCTTTGAATAATTTATTGATACACCAGGCGCGAGCGTGCATCCTCCCGCTTTGGTGTTCCAAGTGTTGCTCGGGGCGCGTTAGCCCCGTTGAGCGCGCTTCTCACCGAGCACCCGTGCACTGCGGAGAAGCAACACCCACGGAGCTCGCTTTTGCGGGTGTTGCTTCTCCGCAGTGCACCGGTGCTCGATAAGAAGCGCGCTCAACGGGGCTAACCCGCCGCCCTAAACACTTCGAACAAAAAGACGGTAATCGCAGTTCATCTCCAAGTGAATATCGAATAGCGTATTATTCTAAACTAATACTTGAAAATTCCAATATTAGCGCTCTCCTAATATTTACACATGGGGTCGGTTGTTTTGCACCAGGAAATTTTCAAGAGCAGCTCTTTTTGTCTTTTCAAAGGATTAGACAGAATATCCTTAGTTTTCGAATGACCAGTCAAAGTTTAGGAGGAAAGAAAGCTGGATTAACAGCGGTGGAGTTAATCTTTAAAAAAAGATATTAATGTTGCAGCTTAAATACATCTTTAAGGAGAACTTGAAGTTGATAGCCTGAGGAAGCAAATTTCTGGCTGGTAGTTTTGTCATGTACAGGTAAGAAATAGTATTTGGGACACTCACTCTGAAAACTTAAGACTACATTTAAAACTTCACAGTGTGTGCTTATACCAGTAATATTTGGTAATAATTCGGTAATAATTCTGTAATAACTAGCATATTAAATTTAGTAGTTTAAAAAGTCTTCAAGATAGCTTTTATTTATTTATTTATTTCCCGATACTGCTAGCGTCGTCGAGACTGTAGCAAGTTTATGGCTTCCTATTCATTTTAGCAGAAGAGAAATTGGCGGAAAAAAATGTGTGCAAGTGAGCGAGAGAGGCAAGTAAATATGGGCATTCGATTCTGGGGTTGTATAGGACACAGCCATCTTTTGGTGCACAAATGGAGATGGGCAGCCTAATGTACAGGGACTGCGAGGTGGAAGCTCATGGTCGGGAGCAGAAGAACCACCTATCTCTCGCGCGTGATTATCTTGTCAGGGTGACATGGGGTCCCTACGACGTCTCGGGTCATAGGCTGCCGCATTATTTTTTATGTCTTCTCGGTTTGCTGCTTCTGAGGTTGATGACCTTTTTCTGCTCAACTTCCAGCAAGCCCAACTAAGGGGATTATTTGTCGCCAAAGGACAATCCCTTTCTTCTCGTTTCATTAAGGGAGGGGACCATCCTGTCAAGGGAAATGTTGATAGTAGTCGAAGAGCTCATGGAATGTGAACTGCATGCATATTATGTACTTGTTTGTGAAATGTGGCTGTGTATCAAAAGTGAAATTCATTTTTCATGCTTGATTAATATAAAGGGGTAATTTTAAGTACTATTAAGCCAAAGTGTTAATTTAAAGTACTATAATAAGCCAAAGTGAAGAAAACTATTTTCTGGTTCCTTTAATAGTTCCTGCCTTCTCCATTGCCTGCAATCGGTGCACTCCCGTATTTTGGATTCTGAAGGGGTCATTTTGGCATGTTTGACATAAATTTAGCAAACTAATGCAGAAATTAGACTTGTTACCCTGTACTTGTACGCAGGCGTGTTTGAGGTCAAGTGCGGATGTTTGAGGGGAGGGGTCCGTGCTTTTTTATTTTTTTATTCAGAAGCCACATTCAGTCGATCAACGAGCTCTGGACGACATCATCCTCGAATCGGTGGTGGACGCTCTCTCGTACACCGTGACCGACCTCTCCTGCTCCGGCCAGAAGGACTTCCCCAACTTCAAGCACAGGGAGCCGGTCTCTGAGATCATTCAGCACACCCAGCTCGATCAAATGGTACGTTTTTGCAGGCATATTTACCGGACATGAAGCGAGAAAAATTAATAGTGTTTTTTGCTCGGACAAAAACGAGCTGCGCGTTGCCAAAGGCTTCGCCTCTGCTAGAATCTAGTGCTTGCAGGTTGGGATGAGGCGCAAAAGTTTCCGACCTTTGGGTTAGCGGAGTAAAAAGTTGGAAGAGAAAAACTGATATTACGTACAGGAGAGCACTGTTGAGCCACAGAATCTGATGAAGGTTTCTGCATCCCTCGGATGGCACCACTGTCGATGACAAGTAATAGAGAGCCTAGACTTAAGAGAGAGAGCAGCTCAAACCATGGAAGCCTTTGCTGTTTAATGGTGGACACCTCCTGTGCTGAATGGTTACAAGTGCACAGGCGCTGCGTTATTGCGTGGCAAGTAGAAAAGCGGGCGGAAAGGCGGAGACGCTTGCGAATGTTTGACACTTTTGACACCTCCTTGCAGGCCGTGTTGCAAACATAGCCCATAAACCACATGACCCTGATCGAGCAGTTGGAAATACTCTCAAATCTAGGCTTTAACGAGTGGACATGAATGAAGACAACTGCATCGATGTTCACATTCGCTTGTTACTGCTTGTCATTGACACTAGTGCCATCCGAGAGATACTGGGGAAAATGGAAGCATTTGTGGCTTTTGAGGACTGCACCATATGGAACCGCCTGCATATATTTACCGTAGAATACCGCGCATCCACCCATTCCACACTAAGCGCCCATTCCCAAATTCGTAGGATCTGAGAAAAAATGCGCAGTACATTGACATGTAAAATTGATGACCGGATAAGCGCTTATTCCCCATCGTTTTCACGATTATCTCTAAATTTTGAGTGGGCGTTTACCCAGTATTTTAAGGTATGTGCAATAAAACCTCTCTGTAGCAGAGACTGAAACTGTAGAGATATGGGTACAGTGAAGCAAAGCAATGTTTGCATACTACTAGCATATTTCAGGTACTGACCATAGTGAAGGTGCTTGTAGATTGTGTATTTCTCCTGATAAAACTGACTTTACTAGATGCTCTATTGTATTGAAACTCCTAGAAAGAAGTATGAAAACTGATTCTAAAACGAACAAACAAAGAGTTTGCAATTTTATTGGTCTATGAGGTTTGTTTTGCATATGCGTCTATTTTCACATTTCTATGATACTTACCTTTTACGGTTTGATAGCTCTTAAAACGGTGCTCTTCTGTGGTTTCTCAGAATTCGGTGCCTTCGCTGGCGAAGCATGACCAGCGGCTTTTGGTGAAGGTCATCAAGGCATCCAACTTGGCTGGCACAAAGGGTATGTAAGGTGTATCTTACTATGGTACAGAAGGACATCCATAGCTCTTTATTTCATCCCGCATGGGCCCTGCACCAATCTTTGGCAAACTTTGGTGGCAAAAATGGAAGCTCGAGGGTTCCAAGAGCCATTGCCGATATATTTTTCTAAGTATGTAGCCAGACTTGCTTCCTAAAATGAACATTTGCATGGGCAGTTGCGGGGGTGGGGGGCAGGATGATGTCAGCTACCCCTACGGCTGGTCTTTGTAGTGCATGCATCTATTTCCATCTCTCTATGTCCTGCAATTCCGTGTAGATTATTGTTCTTTGCGAGAGAAAGCAATTACTTCTGAAAGTTCTTTTGAGCAATTCCACATGGTGTGCCATTTTGAAGCATTTATTTCGACTGAGAATAATTTTTTTTTTGTTGCTCTGTATGGAATATTTGATGATCAATAATGATTGGAGACGTTCAAGTTCACTACCGGTTGCCTGCATGCCTGTCTTAGCCACTACTGTTGACGCTTGATTATTAATTTTGTACTGGGACAAGTATTCTAGTCACAGATTGATGATTCTCTGTAGCTTTTCAATGAGTAGGTACGTTTGTCCTTTAGCCTTTCCACGAAACATTTGTGTTATCTATATGCTTCGGCGTGACAAACTTTGCCCGCTTGCAAAGAGCCCAATGATCAAATGTGCCCACACTGTACACTGCGTTTTGGCCACTTTTAATCTGTAATGCTCATAAGTAAAAGACCCTGGACAGGAGTCTTTCTGTTGCCTTCTGAGCAGCCAAAAAGCAAATTTATAAAGTGGCTCTGTGTCCACCCAGGTTGCAAGGAGGTGTACTGCGTAGTGGAACTGGACGAGCCCCCGCACCGCTGCACCACGACCTCGGCCAAGGAGACGGCCAACCCGTTCTGGGATGAGCACTTCCTCTTGTGAGTCGCTGCCGGTCACCCGCTGGGCTCGCTTTCACTTAGTTCCAGCAGGTGGCTTCACAGTTCCAAACCCAAGTCCACTGTTTCAAATCCAGCTCGTACACTGTATCGTAATTGAACATTGCATGTTTTTTGTCATCAAACTTATGACATTGACTAATTAGTTTAAAGAATGAGTTGTTTTTGCTTACCCGGGGTTCTGACAATTTCCTCTGTCGAGTTGTCTCTTTTTTTTTTCTTACCTAATCTCGCTGCTTTGCATTCACCCACTTCTGTCCACAGTGTGGATATATTTCTCTTCTTGACAGATTGGGTTCTCACCAAAAAGCATGTAAAGTTCACACATGATGAGTTATCAGTGTTCCATTCCTCATGCTTTTTCTTCTGCCCTCTGTGCAAGGCACACATTTAGTGTCTGGTTCAAGCCCCATCTTTCCCATCCTCGGTTATGTTTACAAATCGACTGCTGATGATTCCGTCGTGACCTGCTTTTCAGCACCCTCGACCAAAATTCGTCGGAGGTGCTCTTTGAGCTCTACGACAAAAGCAAGCCTGCCGGGGGTGAGTGGATTTTTGACGGATAATTTTATAAAGCTAGTAGATGACAGTGGGGATAGCTGGGTCGATCTATTAGGAAGGCGAGACAATATATATTTTATGCGTTTATTTGTTCATCGAAAAGTGTAAAAACCCAAAGATATCTGCACTCTTGTTTTTCTGGATCACTGCAGAAAGTTTTTGTTCATATCTAGGCTCTCCCCCACTCGACTCCACTGATGCCTGGACTCATAATCTGTTGCAAGTAATTTGAAACAGGAAATCAAACAGCCTGCGACATATATTTATCGTGGCGTATCGGAGACTCGAAACTCGATTTACTTGTAGCCTCCACATAAATCTGCTTTCTCCGGATGACACGGATTATAGGAGTTTGCCAGTGACGCCCCATGCTGACTGCACTGCTCTTCCGCTTACTTCTTTTCCTCCAGAAAACTTCCTCGGCCTTGGCATTGTGGGCATCAGCGAGCTCAGGCGGGTGCCGAGTCAGCGCCAGATCATCACCCTGCAGTCGCGGCCTCTGGAGTACGACAACATCACTGGCTCCCTAACTGTAGAGGTGAGTGCCTCTCCTTCTTGCTCCAGGGGTCCGATTTTGATCAAGGGGAGAGCAAGAGCGTTCTCGGCTGCCGATTGGACGTGGCACCACAGATGAAGCGTAGTCAACCAACGAGATATATTTTACTTTTTTGCGAGTTCAACAATTAGGAAATATTTTGGTTGGGACGTCTCGCCAACTTACAAATAGCGTAAGGGGTATGACTGCCTTTGATGTACTTGTCCTTAGTACTCCTTCATCAAATAAGTGGCAGCTGGTGTACAGCAGTAGAAGAACCTGAGAGTTACAAACGAACCGCACATTGTTAATGACTCTGAATGTGAAATAGCAAACACTCACATAGTCTTCTTTCAGCCTCACTTCGCCAGGGCTCTCTGTTCGTAGCAGACGATACACTTTTTTCTAGTCTGTTAGCACACAATATGCGGCATTTTCTTGTTTTATTTCCCTCTGCGAATGGTGCTTCCTACCGAACAAACTGCGTTCTTCGCTTCCATAACCGACAAACAGTCTGCAAACGCTATCTTTGTTCACCTTGCGAGAAGTGAATTAGATCTCGCTCTCGCGGTTTCCAAAATCGGATCCCAGGTGCGCTGCTGCACATTGTGTCAAAAGGGCCTTTGAGAAGGTGGGCCTGCATGCCTTGATTTTAAAGGGGTGCTGAAACAAAATTGTAGCACTCGTTTTATTGCCTTAATGTCGATATATGTTGTGGAAACATCGAAGACCAATTTTTGGGTTGAAAAGACACCAAAACTTGATTGAAAATCAATAAACCTGGTGAATGCTCTCCAAGTTCCTTGAAACGTCGTTATATCAATTGCACCGTTAAAGCAGCGCTGCCTCGCGTAAGTACGGCGCTAAGCCCTTTACGCACATAACCTTGTAAACCCTTCTCTCCCATGGCTATTCAAGTCTTGTGTTTAGGGAATAGAGAGGAAGATGGGGAGAGGGGGTCAGTGTCGTTAGGCCCTTCGGGTGCTGTTGAGTCCCTTCGCCTCCTCCGCTCATGTGATTCAACCAGTCATTGGACATCATGAACGGCTGGGTTGCAACGCATTGACGCCACCAAGTTGCGAAGTGCATAACCATATGCCAGCCTTGCCATAGACCTGCCCGTGCTGGGACGAATGATGTCACGAATGCGCCAAATCTCTTAAGACACATCGTGTTCTTTAATGGCTGCTTTTCGAGTGCCTGCGAGAATTGACTCTTTAAAACGTCTATAACTCCTTCTGACATCTATCTTCTGGTTAGCTCAGTTGGTAGAGCGCTCCACTGGAAATGGAGAGGTCCTTGGTTCGATACCAGGACCAGGTGGATTTTTTCGGTGGTGCACCAGTCACCTATAGCTGTGTTTGTCCTTTGTCCCCTTGTTCCCCTTCTCTGGGGATTATTTCCGAAAAATATATTTTTCCCAACCGGACAGTTCTTTCCTCCAACAAAACAATAAAGGAAATGTTTATCTCGTGGTGTCAGATAATCCACTTCGTCTGACTTGGTGGAGGTTACTTCACACGCTGTAGCTTGAGCTAGTTCAAAAGGCTGGTTTACACACTTGTGACTCCTTGCGATAGATTGCCTCAAAACCTCTCGCGATTTCTTACGAGTAGAGAGGTCTGTACTACAAATGGGTGTCCAACTGCTCGATTGGGGTCATGTGGTTTATGGGCCGTGTTTTGCAATATGAGCTGTGTGGAGCTGCCCAAAGCACTGAGCGTCTGCAAATGTTTCCGCCTTTCTGCCTGCTTTGTTCCTCGCCACACAAAAACGCAGTGCATGTGCACTTAATGTGTTACCAATCTCTGCAGGAGGCATCCGCCATTAAATTGCGAGAGCCTCCCTTGGTCCAAGGTGGACCCTCTCCAATCTAGGCTCTCTGACGACGAAAGATCACACTGGTGACATCGATCAAGTAGACGGGAAACACCTGGAATTCTCGTATAAATTCTATTTTTTTGGCACGTCATTTTTTCTTGGCTCAAATAACTTTCGACAATGTTATAAACAACCATTTCTCATAGATAGTATGTATCTCGCAAACACCGCAATACCTTCACTCTGGCAAATGCAACTCCAGGGCCACCTCATAAACAGCTCCAGCGTGCCAGTGTTTTCTCGTCGTAAGAGATTGCAAGAAGTGGGTCGTAAGCAAACGAAAGTGTGTGAATGGGCCTTAACATGTGAACATGCAAACATAATAACATATTTCTCTTTTTTTTTGTCTCAGTTTCTTTACATGGAGGGGTCCCAGATCCCTGTGACGGCAGACTCTCAGATGGCGACGGAATTCTCTCAACAAAATCGCATCGTGGAAAAGAACAGCCGAATCACTTCGGATGGAAGGGTCATCACCACAACTACCATCAAGCGATCGCCGACGACTGAGAGTGAGTCATTTATTATTTATTTAATTGTTTACTCAGTCCTTTGAGATCTTGAAGCAGCGTTGTGTGCAACGTCTTGCAAAAATTATGTTAAAGGGCAACTCCGCTCAATTCCAAAGATTTTGGGATAATGAGTAATTTCGAATTAAAAAGCCCTAGTAAAAGACACTACGTCGTTTGCTTCGCGAAAAATGAGATATATATTTTTAAATCTAATTTTAAACACGAGCGGAAATCGAAACCGAAACTTCGACTCCGTCCGGCAACATTGGCCTCGGGCCGCCAAGTACATGGCCATCACGTGGTACGAGATGTCACGTGATCCTCGGCCCAACGACGGGCGGGATGGGGGTTGGCGGGCGTGCGGCAGGCGCGAGTGTCGTCTGCACTGCACTCTTCACCACGTTTTGGTGTCTACGGCATTCGATGACGTCTGCACAACTGCGGCATAAGTCTGCGACTCTGCGCATGTGGTGTCCATAGTGTGGACGAAACTCCGAGAGGATGATGATAATCACAAACGGTGAGACGACGACGGTGGTTGTGACGCGGAAGACGGCGGTAAAGGCGGGGCCACGGCGGGCGGTTGGTCTGCTCCCAAGAAGCGCGCTGCGCAGGCGCGTACGCCAATCACGTGGACACCGCTGAGCGCCGAGAGGCAACGTTGCTGACGTCATGCACTACGCTCGATCGGTGAAGTAAAAACAAGCAAAAGAGGGCCATGTTGATGACGTTTAGCTCAATGTTGGCTCCGCCCATGCCGTAGCCTTGACTGCGCTGTTGGTTGCGCCTGAATTCGCCCGCTCGAGTCAGCCGATTTTGGCAACTTGGCGAGTTGCAAAGTTTGCCGGACCGTTTAAGAAACATTTAGACAGAACTGCGTGGTAATATTTGACGTGTGGTCTTCCTAGGCGATACTGAAGAGGACTGCATTGTTTTTTCAAAACCAAAAATGAAGCGGAGTTGCCCTTTAAGAAAAAAAAAATATATATATATATTTGTAATTATGTTTAATTTAAACCTAGTACTCATTTGACTCATGTTGAAATGTGTATTTTTCTTTTTTTTTACCTATATTGTGCATTTAAACTTGGGAAACTGATCTGAATTGCTGTCTTTCGCACTCTCTTCAGAACTGCATCACGCTAAAGATATTTGTTTTTTTGACAGTCTTGTGTCTGGCTGCGTACCCAAATGTTTTGCACATGCTGCATTCTTCTTAAAAGTGTGCCACAAGTTTGGATCTTTTGAGAGTTATTCTTCTGGTTGCCTGCAAATATGACTTGAGGAATGGCTCCATGGCTCTACACAAATCAATTTCACATTGGAGGCAAAACCGAGTAATATTGACCAATAAAAATATTAATACCTATCGCAATTCTAAAACAATGATAACAGTGAATGTTGCTGCGACGATTAAAGGGCAATCCATTGGGTCATAGCATTGGCTTGCTCTCAGTGTCGGCACAGGGTTGTGATCTGGAGAAACTAAGGTAATTTCTTGAAATATTTCTAAGCATAAATTTCGTGTAGTAAATTCCGAAAATGAATGTCCGCCCCTGAGAGATCTCCCATCTCATTTTATGGGTGAATATTTGTGGCGGAAACACCGGCGAGGCGGCCAAATCCATGCGACGTCAGTGTCTGCAGTAGTTGTTCCCGCATCCAGTGGGCCTTTTTGTAGCAGGTGCCGACATGTTCATTGCTCATTTTTGCTTAAAATTGCTCTGTCTTATCCCAAGTGGTCACTTACAAGATATGCTTTTCTGTTTATTCCTTCCTGGTGGGTGGGCATTAATTTGGGATTTTACGTAGATGCAAAAGCCGTTTTCATTGTGGTCTCTTGGAAGTTTGTCGAGGCACACTTTTATAGTAACCAACAAAAGGCTGAGGCAATCTCAAATTAAAGCACGTGTGACAAAGCATTTATCGAGGGGCTTATGTGTATAGCATGTCAGGAGATATAGATGGTCTTAACAAAATGTCAGCAGCTCTTCTGTATCTTCTATGGTGATTTTCATTCAAATACAGTGTGAGCCAAGTTTGTTTTCGTCACGCTGATATATACGCGTTTATTCAAAACTTGAAAAAATCTACCTTTTAGATCACCAGCGATACTTTAGCAGCACGAAGACAAAATTATGCAAACAATCAAATGGTGGTGTGCCATCCAAAGTATTTGCAACCCGAAACGAGATGCCGCCGTCTAAAGGCACACTTGGAGTAGGAGTAATGGGGGCCTTGCACCATTTGAGATGTGCATTGGAAACTTGCCCACCAGCTAAACCATGAAACGAAGGAGCTGTGAATAGTAAATGAAATATGTTTTGCTTACCTTTGCTGAACTTTTACCTGGAGCATTATAGTAAAGATGTTCACGCTGTAGCAGGTAGCGGTCTTGGGACCTGTTTTTGTGCAGAGATTAGCCAAAGTACCACGAGACATTGCTGTTCTTAGTATATATACTATAAACTGTCGAGCCTTCCTATAGTAAAGACTGGCATAATGAATAGCAGTTTAAGCATATGCTTCTAATACTGATGCAGATATTTGACATACTAATAAAATTAAAGATATTTTCTACAAACATTGACTTTTCTGTCCAGAGACACTGTAGTTTTATAATCAAATTTCCAGACAGCTGGTCACTTGTATAGTACGCTTTTTGTGTCCCAGCTTAATGCTTTAAAGCATATGTTATTAGCTGGCTACTTGCTTTGTAGGATCATGCTGCAAACCCTTCCTGGAGTTTGCTGGTGATGTGGTATTTCTGGAGCTTACTTAAAATCAGAATCTTTTCACAGTATAGATCACTGTGAATGTGGGACATGGGAAACGACTATTTTATTGCTGGTATGGCTTGGGTTTGCTTGGTGTGCATGTAGGAGTGGGACTATCAGTCTCTGGTCTAGCAGATTCGTTCTGCAATTAACAAATTCATAACAATTCTGCTGCTGTTTCATACCTTTCTTAGCTACTTCATGGAAGCCCATTCCCTGCTTGGTTACCGATTTCTACAAGCTGTGCATTGGCAAAGAGGAGTGTTTAATTGTGTAGTACTTATGTTGTCAGTGCCATACTTTTTTTTCACAACCCAGATGCCTAAATATTGTTCAATTAGTGACTATGCGTTAAATGTACTAGAAGTTTTTTTTGCCTATATACTCATATTTTAATCCAAATTATGATTCGAAATTCGTTGTTCTACGCAATTTGTGTGCAACTACAGAGTTTGTACTAAGTAGACCAAATAATTTATATAAAAAAAGCCTCAATTTAAGAAGTGAATGGTTCAAATAAGTACAGTCAAATTTCATTATAACGAACGTCTTTAATAGGAAAATGCCCTTTCAACAAAATATACTAGGTATTGTTCCGACGATTCCCCATGACACCATATTGAGTTTCTGTTCTATAAATAGCAGAATACACGACCCAGCGATCTATAAATGAACAATCGCTAGTAACTTCCTAGGTACCAAGTATTTGATATAAGACAAAGTATCCTGCTCGCACACAGTGCAATAGCGATCTATAACAAATGAAGGTGTGTAACGTACGGGGGAAAATGCAGAGAATTGCAGCCTTTGCAAAAGCCTTTACTTATCTCTCTTTGTCCTAATATCTTCCATGCCTGGAAATTACACCAACAAGTTTGTAGAAGAGTTAGTGAAAATGAAGAACTGGCAGGTTATCTCTTGCGCAGCAGCTTGGGACTATTAATAACAAGATGCTGTTTGTCCAGGCACATGAATAATATGTGTCTGAACTGTTATAAAGTTACCTTAAGAATGGATTCGCAATGTTTGTTCCGAAATTTTCTCCCGAAAGGTTTTCTTTCTCTTTGCTATGATCAGTGGGCTCATTCGATTTACCTGCACCAGCCTGCACCAATGCAGAAAATTGCAGTGCAGTGTACTTCCAGTTTAGTTTTCAGATTGGCTGCACTTGTAAATCAAATATGGCAGTGTGTACCCTGGTGCAGGAGCGAAATCGAATGAGCCCAATGACACCTGATGCAAAAATATGTACTCGTTCAAAAAGCGACAGTTTCCAGACCAAAGGCATCCTAGTCGAATGTGGCCAATGCCGTGTTATTGTTGTTTTGTTATACTTTAGTGTTTGGAGAATTTATTTTTAGATTGGGTAAATCTATGCAGTCATTTCTTGACTTTTGCAAATTCATTCTTGGACATCCGAAATTTGCGTTGAATGCCATTCAAGTAAATAAGTAAATACTAGGGTTGTGCGAATATTCTAATTCTTTAATAGTCTCGAATACTATGCTATTTGATATTCGCTTCGAGATGGACTGTGATCTTCATATTTTTCTAAGTGCTGATTACGGCGGATTAGCCCTGTTGAGCGCACTTCTTGCCGAGCACCGGTGCACTGCAGAGAAGCAACGCATGCGGTAGCAATCTCTGTGGGTGTTGCTTCTCCACAATGCACCAGTTCTTGGTAAAAAGTGCACTCAATGGGACTATCCCACCGCAATGAACATTTGGAAAGGTATAGATATCCTAGCCACATAGGAGAAAGGTACACTTTCAAAACAGGATGGTAAACACACACTCCTAAAGTATTAAAAAAAAATGAAAATTTGTATATTTGCATTGCAGTAAAATTTTTAATATTAAACTGTGGCTATTACACAAGAATACATGTTATGCAGAGTTGCCCCGACGAGCTGCATTCATTATTTGCGATTCTATCTTTTCTTTTCAAATTTGATATTGAAGAAAGGATATTTGCGTATTAACCAATAGTATTTATAAATCCGATCAATCAGGTATAGCTGGGAATCTCTCTAGCTTTAATTGTATATCAAATCTCTGATTTACTTGCCATCCCAATGTAGTCATCAGACTTTCTGAGGCCACAGTCTCTAAATATAGTCAGATTAACAGCTTAGAAATCGACATGTTAAAGCTTAGGAACAACCTTCACAAGTTCAGTTGGGTTTTCATTTAGGCAGGGGGAGGGATGTAGTAAAGGGCTTGGGAAAACTATTTAATTTTGAATTAAAAAATATTTGGAGAAAACCACTTATTGGCATGCATTGAATTTGCTTTAAACTGAAAATACACTATTTGCACATGCCTAGCAAATACAACCAAGAGAGATCTATCTTTTGACACAAAAATACCGTAATTAACCAATATATGTTGCAATTTTAATGAAGAATAGCTGTTGTACTAGGTTTGATGACATCTTTTTCGAAAACAGGGCACATAATCCCAGAGATGTGTCACTGTTCTGTACACCTGTTTGTCTCCCATGTTCTAATTTTCACATAAAATTTGTATACCAGACTGACTTGTACAACAATGGACATTTCAGTAGGTCCTTCAGAGTTCGTTATGATGTTGTTTGGCTGTATAGAGTTGTCCCCCTTTATTTATACCCGATAAAGTTGCAATATTGTTTTTGATACCACCATTCTCGCATCCGTGCATGCATGCCGCATGCATATTGATATTCTACTATCGAGGCTTTCTTAAACTCTTTTAGCAGACACTACTTGGCATCAGTAAATGTCAGTGGTATAGGTGACACTCAATGTTTGTTTATATTTTCTAAAGTGCAAGTAACCCCAGGTGCCCTCTTGTACCCCAGGAAATTCTCTTAACATCAAGGCATGAGTACAATGCATCTTTTAGGCTGTTCTCTGGTTCCACTTTTTATTTTTAGGCATTCCAGACTGCCACTACTGTTGTAGAATGGTGGCTGCATGTTGCGACTTGTTTTCTTGCATGCCACCCTGTTGTGACCACCTAGCTAAAACTCGACACCTCGAGAGACAAGCGGTTCTCGCCATTGAGGAAAAACTGAAGCTCCTGGAGCAGTCTCCGCCCAAACCGCTCGACGAATCCATGGTGGAGTTTCTCCGGAGTCAGATTTCCAATGGCTGCTCCGGGGCTGCCCCGGTGCACCAGGCGCAGCGTGATGGCCATTTTTCCGACGGTTCGGCGGACATGATGCCCTCCGCACACTCTCCCATTTTCCCGGAAGCCTCTTCTCAACCTTTGTTTGCGAAGGATTGCGATGACTTGACATTGTTACCGTCGAACATGTCAGGTGGATCTCCAAAGCAAGATGGCTGCCGAAGAGACGCTGCAGACGCCGACATCCCGCCTCCGCTGCCGTCTTCCCCGCCGCCGAATGTGTCTGGTCGGCAGAGGATGGCGAGTAGCTCCACCGACGACAACAGCAGTCTTGTGGTTGGTGGAGAGTTTGCTTCGCAAGGTCCATCTACTACGGATGGTCTTCTAAACGGAGAGAGGCAAATGGTGACCGTCGTTCTAACGGCTTCGCCGCAAACGAAAACTAGCGAGAAGTCCGTTCTCGGCTCCTCGTCCGAATCGACGACCAGCGATTGCGGAGACCTGTATCAAAATGGGGCTGCACGAAGATGGGTGGAGCCAGAAGTGGATGGTTCGTACGGCAAGGAACCAAGGAACTCTGGCGGCTTTCCATTTCCAAGGGCCGACCAAAACGGGAACATTAGGCACGATGGTGAGAGTGCAACTTTTACCGGGAACGCTGGTCTCCTTCTCTGCGGTTCTTCTACTACTACTCTTTCTGGTGCACAAACCAATTTTTCACTCTCTTCACTGCTGCGTATTTTTCGTTGTGCCTGCATCTCCTTTTGTTGGTGTTGTGGTGGTGTCATCGTCGTTGTCCTGCGTTGCGTGGTCCTGGGTTGGCGCCGTCGCCCTTGTGCATTTGCAGCTGTTTGCATGCAAATGTGCCTCACGATGCGTGCTTGTTACCGTGCATGCATGCATGGATGTTTGACTAACCTGTTGGTGTATGCCCCTTTTTTTTCCACTAACTCGCCTTCATAAATTCTCCGAGAAAATGGAAAATCAGATAGTGTCTTGGTAGTACAGACTAAAGTTGCAAAAGTTACAGGGCCAGAAGCTTAAATGAACACTTACCCAGCTTGTGAAGATGAAAACTGCAGAGGCATAACTGCCTCACTACGAATGTAAAAAGATGCAGTCAGACAAGCGAGTCAGCTTTGCCCATGCAATTGTTGCAGTCATGCAATTGCTAGATGGATGGTTGATACAAACCTACAAGCTAATTTATAATGGTATATAATGCAAGCATGAGTATGTGTTATTGATTAGTTAGAAAATCATCCACTCAAGCACATGAGGAGCCCTGGCTACATATTCTAGTACTTTGTCTTGTGCATGTGTCAAGAAAAATGCCCATTGGACAGGAGGGGGAGATCTTATGTGCCTAGCAGATACAGGTCTCATTTAATGTACTACTTGAGATGCTAAATTGCTATGATTTGACCACATTCTATGTAACGTGTAGTGCAAATTTTGGTAAAAAAAGTACAAGAGATGAGAGTACTAGCTTGCAATATCATAAGTTTTCTGTCGTTCTCGAACAAAATCTCAAACTGTCGAGTTTTATTATTGCTCCAAATTATTTCTGGCTTTGCAGAGGTGCATGAAAGGTTGCTTTGTTATGTTCCAGCTGCTATATATATAAATTGTGCATATATGATAACAGCATTTTTGTGACTCCAGTATTACTACCGTAAAGTTCCGAAAGAACGCCCACCCATAATGAACAGATAAATGTTGAAAACCTTGGGGTGGGCTATCTTTGAAGATGCTACAGCAAAACTATCCAAAATGAATGATAAACACCCTGGCACTGGCTACAAACCACGTTACGCAGGAACTGATGCCGCAGATTGTGGACCCCGGAAATTCGCGTTTCACAATGCGACAAACATGCGGGAATTCGCTACAAACTCCTGTGTCACGGGAAAGGATACCGCAGGTTGCGGGCGCAGCAGATTCCGCTACAAACTTGCCTTTCACGGGAACCGATATTGCATGTGCAGATCGCGGACAAAAATGCGGTAATCCGCTGCAAACTCTGTTAAGATTCGCATTTCATGGTGCAACATACATGTGGGAACAACTCGTGTGTTACGGAAGCCAATATTGCGCACGCAGATCGCGGACAAAAACGTGGGAACCCGCTATAAACTCGCTTGTCAGGCGTGCCGATACAGCAAATTGCGCGGTTGATGCGATTCCCGTCGGACATAGCGTGACGTTCGACGGGAATCGGGTGTGGGCGATGTTTCGGAATTTTTATGTTACTAATATTAAGCCAGAAAAATGGGATGGGCGATCTCTAGGGGGTGGGCGTTCTCTCGGAACTTTACGGTAGTTACAAACTTTTAGCATAATTTTTTTATTGTACCTATATACACATCATGTCTGGGTTACCTTAGTCAGCGAAGTTTTAGCAAATTTTATTGCTCGTCCGGCTGTTGTTCCAGCTAGCAATGTTTTAGTTGTTTTTGTGAAACCTTGTGGACAAGCTAAAACTACTCTTGTTCAATTGCTGCACGATTCGAAATCGGAAAGTAAAAACACCTACCATAAAATATGATGTAAGTGCCCACTTCGTTTAGACGTCCACTATTAACATTTCCCAAACTTGGGAATTATGCAAATTATACGTCAAGTGCCCGATTTGACCGACAAGCGCCCGTGTCTGGATTAATCCAGTTTCTAGTGAAAGTGGGGCTGATGTTCCCCGGTATTTTACGGTAGCAAGGTCAACGGGGGCGCTCACTTTTTCCTATTCGGGCCAAAATTTTATCTGTACTATCAGACTATCTTGACGAAGATATATAAAAAGATAACCTTAACGTTTTGTTGTACATGTTAGTGCACCATCACACACTTAAACAATGTCATACTAACTGTCGAGCATCGGCTCCTTAACAAGGGGCCTCCCGAAAGTCTCGTAGCAGTAGCCGACGTTTCATTCTTGTCCTCTCCTGCCTGTCGGGTCATAACTCCTCTACGGTTCACGTCCCAACAGTACTGATGTCCTTTCCCCCATTGCTCCTCACTCTCCATGCAATTCACCCACCCCTGCCAACAAACACCTCCGAGAGAGCAAGGTCATAGCACCGGATTTCCAGTGCCGCCTACCGCGAGCCACAGTGGGAAGATATTGGACATGAGTGCTGTGTCAGCATTTAGCTTGGTCTAGTGTTCAATCTGCGAACGACCGACACTCGTCTACTTACTGACATGGAGAAACATGCCCTGGCACATTGACGATTTGATAAATGGGCGTTGTCCCTGCCCATGCACTCTCTTTCTCACCTTACCTTTCACCCATGCACTGCCCCTCCAGTACTCAGTACTCTACATATTCTTGTGACCGGTCATGGGGTCTGTACCCTGTAGAAGCTAACCATGTTGGTGAAATATTGGCTGCCACTCAGAGGCTTCTGGGAGGTTCCTTTTTTATAGTTCTTCGTAATGGCTTCGACTGAGGACCTTTGTGTCTAGCTTGCGCATCAGTGCCTGTTGACCCTAATCTTCTGCGCCTCGCACTTTGTCCCTCCGGCCGTTGCTCAGATGGAAGCTCCCTGACGGAAGCGGCGCTCAAGGAGTTGGAGGCCAAGGGGAGAAGCCCGACTGCCACCAAGAGCACTCTCATCATCCACAGCGTGCAGAGGGTGAGCCCGAGAGACGTCCCTCCTACTCTAGCATAATTTTCTCAAACGCAATCTTCCACTCGAAACACAAAGGAAGAGAGTGTGACTTGAGCCTCCGTGTGTTACTAAGTACAGCATTCCATAGCATCTGCTAGAATCACCTGAGCTCCTAGTATCGACACTTTCATTTTTATTTTCTGATGCCACTATAACGGTCATTCTGTTGCTGACAGGTGGCAACACTGATCCTATTCAAGAGGGCTAAAGAGGCATTACTTTACCGTAGCTCCTTCAGCCCTGGCTCTAGCATCCGCTAGAGCTGGGAATCGCAATGCCTTATTGGGCCTTTAGGGTGGAAATAAATTGAATTATCTAATTAACCTCTTTGATGGACTCAAGCCGGCCACCTTGATGCCGGGAGTAAGGGAACGAAAGAGAACATTACCCGTAAAATATCTTTGGGGAGTTCTGAACAATTAGAGAATTGCAGCCAGTCGGAAGGTGCCGACGACAAATTTGATTTCATTGGGCATCCATCTTCAAGTCCTCAATTACGACATTGTAACTTGGAAATGAAGCCTGGAAGTTTTGGTGCCCTGGGAACATTCACTTACTCTATATAACTAGCAAGCCACCTCAGTGCCTCCGGAAAGCAAAGCACCCCTCTAAGGAACCCCAGGTGGCAGGTTTGAGTCCCAGCCGAGGTGCCCACAATCTGATGGAGACTTGTTGCGAAGGAGGTACCATGTCATCAAGATTCGATTGCATGTCAAAAGAACCCCAGGTGGCCCAAAATATTCCTCAGTCCTTTGCTGGGGCATGCCAGATGCCCTTCGTTCATCTGGAATGTGAAACTCAAATTAGATTTTTTTAAGGGATAATTAAAGCCACCGTATACGGCAGCTTTAGCAGAGTATGCCATGCTTTTCCCCGTGCCACCTGTCAAGATTGGTCAGAAAGGATCAGACACATAACTTTGAAGACAATCCAAGCTGGTTTAGCGTGACAAACCGAATGCGCCGTGGACTGCCAAGCACACTGACACGGGATTCGGTTGTCATTTGCTCCTTCTGGCCTCCCAGTGATCCGACGCATGAAGTTTGCAGTTCACTTTATCTTTGAACTACTCTACTCCAAGTTCGCTAAAGGCCCGTTCACACTCTTGCGACCGAGTACGACTGAGAGAGACGAGATCTCTTAAAACTTCTTAAACGTTTTTAGAATGAGGGAACACACTGGCATTGTGGCGCCATCTATGCGGTGACCCTGGAACTGCATTTCACAAGAGTGAAGGTTTTGCGGGATTTCCGAGGTCAAATGTGCGTAATACTCATAGAAAGGCTCGTTTATAACATTGCCAAAGTTTTTCGAGCCATGAAAGGATAATGTGCGAGAAACAAAAAAAAAACAAAAAAATATGCCGGACCGCCGAGTTTACACCGCTTCCCAATAGATGGCGCCAGTGTGTTCTCTGGTTTAAGAAGTTCTAAGGAACCCAGGTTTAACAGGTCGCAAGAGTGTGAGCGGGCCTTTACTCGTACGTATATTTGAATCACCACACCATGTCCTAAACTTGAATCAAAATGCTTGAATAGCTTCTGGAGCAGTCAAAGTCTTATAGAGATTGAGCCGCTAAATGCGCCAGATATTTCCTTATACATACCGTTATTTTAGAGCCTAGCTCTTAGGTGCCCGTTTCCGTGTTTTGCGGCGTCAGTGCAGGAAAATTCCCCCTCTAAATTCAAGGAATTGAATTGGTGTTGAGATCACGTGACGTCAATTTTCCTGCTAAATCTAGCGGAGAAACTGAATTTGTTTATAAGTAATGTGACGCCAAGTCATGTGGCATCAATTTTTCAGCTAAATTTAGCAGGAAAACTGTGGGAGTGGAGGGGAAGGCATGAAGGAGGAGGAGCAGAGGGTACAAACGAGGAGGAGGAAAGGAGAAGGAGGGGCATACCCTCCCCTCTGTACCCTCCTCCTCCTCCTCCTCCTCAAGAGCTGTGCTCTAATTTCGCGTTATGAAAATTTGTAAATGTCTACATTTTTTTTAGATTTAAATGATGACCATCAGTGGTGCTTAGTGTTATGCATGAAGTGCCCCGATCTCGTGTCATTCCTCTGGCAGCCAAAGCTGCCATATGCAGTGGCAAGACGGCGGTTTTACTCGCCACCTCCATGCTGTAGCAACACAAGTCGGACGACATTAGCAATTTCTGTTTCATTGCTGGCTTTGCCATCGAGATTAGTGAATTGAATTAAACCTTACATACCTACAGAGGTGATGTCACTAAGGATTAGCTTTTAGAACAGACTGCTTCAGGGCAAGGGTTCTGAATGGATCACATTGAGTCACTGAATGTTCCCAAAGCCCCACATTCCATAGAACCTGCTCATATCCGAGAATCAGGCCAGTCGAGCTTTCTGACTGGGATTTTGTGACCATTTCCAAGCCGAGGGAAATAAAAGTGAAAAACGTATATGCGCCGAGAAAGTGAGGAAGAGGAGGAGACAAGAGTGTGTGGGGATGTCAGAACGCCGAGCTTTAATTGGTATGATGAATGGATAGACCTAAAGCTGCTTTTGTCTCGACTGCACTCGTCGAACGCATGACAACACGAAGTGCCGCTGTCCGGCATTTGGTTCTTGCGTTACGTTCAACGAGTGCAGTGGTAACAAAGGCAGCCTTCGACTCCGCTGCACTCGTCGAATGCGTTGGAACGCGGAATGCCAACGTGTGGTGTTTGGCTCTCGCATTCAAACACGTTCAACGACTGCAGTGGAGATGAAGGCAGGTAGCTTTAGGTCTACCCACTAATCATTCCAATCGGAGATCGGCCTTTTGATGTCCCCTTGTGCACTCCTCTCCTCCTGACCATCAATTTCCGGGTGCATATAGTGTCTCCATGGTAGTTCTGAGCAGCTCTGGTTGAAAGCTGGTGGGCATGCTGCTTTTTGGTTGACAGCTCCGCATGCTCCGATTCAATTCCTCAAGGCACCACTTTGAAGGTTTTCTAAGCCATCAATTGCAGAGTCGTGATGTGGTTTTAAAACAAAGCTTCAGAGTTTTGGTACCCTGAGAACATTCAGTGGTTAGGTGCGCCTTCATCGCTTGTTTAACACCTCTTTGCTCGCTACTGTATTGGTAATTGTTTGGCACGGAGCGTTGAATGTTGTGGCAACTTCTTCTCTGATTTGACTGTCGCTTCCTCCTGCTCTTTGCATGCAATCTGTGTAGGAAGTTGCCTGCCCAAGCTTCAAGGTATGTTCACTCATGTTTGTGAATGTCTCTGCTCACTCTAGTCCCTGAATTGTTCTGAAACCACTGCACTCAAAAAAGAAAACAAAAAAAAGGGAGACACTGTGGAACAACTGCTGGTCCTGCTAATTTCATTTCTTGTTCTGACCAATCTGAATCATTTAACTCTGTTAAGATATATGTGTCTACTTCTCTCGCATATATGCCTACCTGAATATGATTGATCTGATTTCTGGGGAATGTGGGACCTTCAAACAATGGCCAATATCGACTAAGGCATAGAACTCTGTTAGACAGAACATTGCCTAAAGGCAAGCTGTTCGTCCACGGAACAAATGAGCTGTCCACTTCCATTATGATTTAATTGTCCACGAGGATTTTATACGATCGAAATCACCCCTAGGAAATGTTAAAAAGCCCTACCGTAGCCAGGCAAAATTGCTGGTGGGGAGGTAATTAGATTTAACGGAGAAATAATTATTCAAATGCAAACACCCGTTGCTGATCTCAACTGCTCCTGGCTGCTATGTGGCTTTTTAGTGGCCTGTGCTAATTGAGGGGCATAAGCATATGGGAAACTGATCCTTCTAGATATCATCGCATAATCATTGTCACTAGACACAGCACAGCAGGACTCTACGGCATCTTTCTGTAATGCTGCTGCTCTTCTGAGCCAATAAAGATTACAACTACCTGCATAGGGAAGTGTAAACTGGAGGAGGCATTAACGAGGGAAAACTTTCCCGAGGGAGGCGGTTGTTAACTCCATAAAGCAAAGCAATTCACAAAAGCACGACTCTACAAACATGGTTGTACAACATCCAGAACAACACTCGTGCGCTTGCAATTCCGTTCATTACCATACCGTAGAATGCCACGCATCCGCCCATTCCACATTAAGCGCCCATTCCCAAATTTGTAAGATCCGAGGAAATATGCGCAGTACACTTATATGTAAAATTGATGACCGGACAAGCGCCCATCCCCCATTCTCTCGCGATTATTTCTAAATTTTGAGTGGGCGCTTGCCCAGTATTTTACAGTGTACTTAAGGTCGTGATGCTGGAACCAGCCGACAGAACTGCACACGGGGACATGAATGGTTCTGCAGGATCGGTGGTCGAGTGTTTTAGTGCACCACAGCTCGGAGCTGAGCACAAGCTCGCTCTACAGGACCCAGGCATCCTGGGTTTGATTTGGATTAACATTGTACCGGTGCATTGTATCACTAACTGCACGATGCACGTTAAAGACCTCAGGTTAGCAGTCGTACTGCGCTGGCTGGATTTCTCGTGTCGCCATATCTGCCGTACCAGATGGCGTGGAAGGTGCTATCCGATTAATTCTGTAAAATATTCTAGCATTTTCGAGCGCATATAAAACCGAAACCTATAAAAAATACTGGAAGGGCCCATTGTTGTCTGGTGAAAATCCGTCGCAACATGGCTTTCGTAAGTCATGTGACCCAGAATTGCTCAACTTGGCATTTATGGCAAGTCTCAGTCCAGTGACTCTAGGGCAAGAAATAGAGCACGCTGGTACTGGAAAAAAAAAACTACACCACAAACATAATTACGCACATGCAATGATTAGGTAGTAGATCAGTTGCAGTTGGCAGATGCTTAGTGTGATTATTGGGCAAAAAATGGATGAGTCAATAATTGTGAGAGCTTTCCTTGGGCAGGAGGCAGCAGTTGATTGTACGAATTTTCTTTCTCTTTGGTGCAGGACACAAATACTGTTCCTATGTGCATGTTTTGTTTGACTGCTGTGGTTTTATGATGACCAACTGTACTAACAACTTCTCCAGGTTTCTCCCTGTTTAATACCTTTCACGAAACTTGTGCATGTGCAGCAGAGAGGAAGACTAAGGGAGGACAGGACATAAACGAGGCACCTCATTTGTGTCCTGTCCTCCCTTTGTCCTCGTCTTTGCTGCGCGTGCGCAAGCTTTATGAAATGACAAACCGACCAGCCCAAACAGCCACTCTTTTCCTTTTAGTACTGTCCCTAAATGTCCCTGCATTTGAAAAAAAAAAAAGTAATGCAAGTTTTTTTGTTTTAAGAAGAGGACTTCTGACAAGAGAAGTCTGTCATGTTTTTTTGCAACACAGAAATGAACTATGTATCACTATACTAATTGTTCATGCTCCAGCTGAATGTATAGTGCCGGCAGTTGGCATAAGACCCCAAAAATTTAGAATTTCAATACTATCTGATTCAATATAGTTGAAAGCAATTCTTGGGGATTTTGAATGAGAAAATGGTAGAGAGTGCAGCCCTTGTATACATAAAAAAAAGAGACCCCATTTTTTTATTGAAAAGTTTTTAAAATTGTGTTTATCTGTTGAGTTGGTAATTAGCTGAAATTTAGGCATATCTCATGCCATACCCCAGTACAACATTCTTGCAGAGTATCTGGCAATGCCTAGTTTATTTTTGCAGTGAGAAGAACACAGTTCATTTTTCACGGCATAGTAATCTGTCAAGAATTTGTTGCAAGCCAAATGCCAAACTTGCACAGATGTCTTTTCTGACCGAAATTTGTTGCCGACTGCTATTCTTAGGTGAGAATGGACAAGAAGGGCCGTTGGCATGAGGTTTCCCAGGTACTGACCTCCGAAAACTTCTCGCACAACCACTGGCTGCACCCCTGAGTTGCGGGTTTTTTTTCTCTCTCGGTTGCACTCACTTTGGCGCTGTCTGACAATGGATTAGAAAGCTTCCTCACTGATTTCACCGAAGGTTGCCAATGTTTCACTTCACTGGGGGAGTTGCAGGTGGCTAGGGTACATTTTTCAAAATGCACGTTTAACAGACGAAGGGCTTGAGATTCTTTTAATCAGCGCTGCCTGTACTGAACTAAAGAGTTCGTAACGATGCTGGCAAAGACATATGCTGATTAACCTTCGGGCTGACAGCGTCGGACGCTGTAAGTCGCTGGAGCCGATCCAACGCTGAAAGGTTGCCCCATTACTTTATGCACAGTGCGTTCCTGACTGATACGCTTCGTGTCTAATGTCTGCCGAGTTCGATAAACATGCGGTAAAGACTGTATCCATGTTTACACTCAATTTTTCAAGGAGTCTGCTTAAACAAAAACAAGCGCCCCATGTAGCGAGGGAGCTGAGGCAATATCTGCTATGAGAAGCAAAGAAATTTAGCCAGACACTGAAGTTGAGAAACATCCTTAGGTTGGAAGTCAACTACAGTCAAATCTTGTTACTTTAAACTCTCTTAATTCAAACTTGCAGATAATTCAAACTAAAAACATACAGGTTCCATCCAATGTGTCTCTATAGGAGGAAACTCCGCGGAATTCAAACTTTGCTTTATTCAAACAAATGTTCGGTCCCCCTCGAGTTTGATTTAACGAGATTCGACTGTCTTGTATTCCCTTGGACAGCACCATAAAGTGTACTTCAAGTAAAGCGCAAGTTCACATTCTTGAAATATGCCTAGAGTAAACATACAACACACTCAAAGTATCTCGATCTCTAACTGTGATCAGCCTTCTGGACGCTCTCAATAACTATACTTGGTTCAACTGATGTACCGTAATTGCTTTGCCAATTAAGCTATAACTCTGGTTTTTCTGCTTTTCTTTATGCTTATTTATGTTGGCGGCATGGCTGCTGTCAATTTTTTATGCACCACCGGTGTCTTTTGCATGCCGTCAGAAATCCAACTTTCAACATGCTGCACTGTGAAATGCTCCTGCATTAAGTAATCCTTGGTTTGTACGATGGAAAATCGTTTTGTTGACAGACTAACGTGATAGCAAAAAGATGGGTATAGTAAAGGAAAGTGGAAGTATGCTTGTACTACAGGTATAGACGCTTCGCAGCAGCTGTACATTGGGGCCGCCATAACCGACCTTCAATTTTTGTTTCCTCTTATTCCATATACTTCACTTCATTATTGCCATAGCAGGCCAGGTTATTGCCATCTTAGATTCTATTGCATCCCCCTCCCCAGCATTGGCTCTTGTGGAAGCTCATCAAGACCCGTTTCGGTGGCTCGGCATCTCGACAGACAAGAGAAGGTCGGCAATGGCGGCTGTAATCTGACGCATGTGCAAAGTGTCTGTAGGCATCTGAGGCTCTGACATACCAATGAAGATGCTCAAGTTCAGTAGGACCTCTACTGTAAAGCCATTTTTTACAGAAAAAATATTTACTATATTCTCAAATGCCCGTACCTGTGTTTTAAGTATACAGGGTTGCGTTTTCTGGATTTATTTTTCGTAAAACTCTAAGGCGTTTTTTTTTCGGGGCTTATCCTCAGCTTCAGTGTTTTTCTGTGTCTATTTTCTGGTATCGTGCGAAAATCGGCGTTTACTGGGGCTGATGTTGAAGGAAACAGGGAATTCCCCAACCTCCAGGGAGCATGCGCAGGACCCCTTAGGAAATACCCCGCACCAACAAGAAAAAAAGATGTAGTTCCGAAGCAAGAAGTTCATTGGGAGCTATGTTACGAGTGAGCACAAAATAAAGCTGCGGAAAAAGATTCCCACAAAGTTTTTTTTATATTCTAGGACAGCTCCAATTAAAAGTTGTTTGGGTTTCACCGATTATGAAGAAATCACCCTACGGGTTAATTTTAAATGCTTGTCGATACTTACTGAGAACACAGAACCTTAGCTAGTTATAAGGGCACTTTGACTTCGCTCTTCTAAGTCTATATCTTTACTATATTTACTGTAGAGAGACAATTTACCGTAAAACGAGGTTTGTGATCATTTGTTTGCTTTTAGTCGCTGCAATATTTGCGTAATTTTGATGATTTCATTTGGTGGCTATTGCTGTTTCACTGTGCGTGCTCAAGGAGTTTGAGAGTACAGTACGGGGTTGTTTGTACCAACCGGAGTCTTATCTGTTTTTTCCACGGACACAGTCGGATGAGACTCCGCTGTCGATATCGCCGAGTAGTCTACGAAAACAAGACCACAACTCGGTGGAAAGAAGCGCTTCCTCTTCATGCAGCGAGGCTGAAGGTGAAGGTAAGGAAAAAAGCAAATTCTTTTCTATATTTCGACATTTCGAACCTTGAGTAGTCTTTACTGGCAAATATCGCTGCATTAAGAAAAAAAACAACGAAAGGGTGCCTATCTGTCCACTTTCCCACACAGTGCTCAATGGGCCGGTCACTGTGATATGTGAAGGTAGCTTGGTGCATAAAGAGAATGCAAAAGAAGTTTTGATCTAAGAATATCTGTGCTGTGCCACCAAAATATTAACCCCCTAACCATTTTTTTGGGTGCAATTTTTGATCCTAAACTGTTTTCCTTTTTTTTTTTTTTATTGCACGTGCTGCCCGGGTCGCACGTGTCTCCAAAGTCAGCTTCCATCCCTAAAAACGTGTGCGATAGAAAACCCATGCTGCCATCTCTGAGCAGTGCCGCAAACTAAGCTTTGAAGGAGCCTGGGTCATCCGAAACGGCTCGGGGGTTAAAGTGGGCTAGTCAGATAAGCATTATGAACAATAAACAGCACAAAGGACAGACAAGGGCAAGAACACAGATGGGAATAACGAGAAACAAATTAAAGTAGTTGTTATTTAGGCAGCAGGAGTTTAGTCGTCCAACATGTGGCGACATTGTTACCCAACGTAGGCGATAAATTTAGCCAGTGCAATACAACCGCTTGCCTGGGGTCTTCAACGTGCATCCACGCAGTAGTGATACGCAACCCCGTGCAGGTACGATGCTCATTTAGACCGAAACGGGCAGGGGCGGGGATCGAACCCAGGATCGTGGGTTCTGCTGCACAAGCTTTTGCTTCACGTGCTCCCAGCTGGTGTGTGCCAACACACTCAGCCTTCAATCCACCGAAGGCACTAGTGCCTAGCACGTTGTTTTAACGCTCTTATAAGAAAAGAGAAGGAACAAGTGAGAGCAGTTTATAACCAAACGATGAGAACGACGAAAGGTAAAGGAAGAAATTATAGGAATAGGATACATCAAAGCCAATGCAGTAAATTAAAACCATAATTGAAAATGCGGTTGAAATAAGATTAAATTAAAAAATGTAATTCAGGAAAGGAAGAAAGCTTTTGAAAAAATTAATATACAGCAGTAAGAATACTTTGAAAAAGATTTCTCTTTAACTTTTTTAAGTTTTATTACCGTAAAATACTGGGCAAGAGCCCACTCAGACTTTGGAGATAATCGCAAAAGAATGGGGGATGGGCGCTTGTGCAGTCGGCAATTTTACGTATAAATGTACCACGCATATTCACTCGGATCTTACAAATGTGGTAATGGGCGCTTAATGTGGAATGGGTGGATATGCGGTATTCTACGGTAGATTATTTTTTTTCTCATATGCTTCATTATTTTCTTGTCTCTTGTTTCAACTGTAATTTCATTTGTAGCCTCGTTTTTACTGCATTTGCTTCAACGTGTCCTGTTGCTTTCATTTCTTTCTTTCTCTCTGTCCTTTTCGTCACCTTGAAGAGGCAACTGCTCTCACTTCTTCCTTCATTGTCCTTGTAAGTGCATTAAAGCAACAGTGCATAAGTAAACGCTAGTCCCGTTTGTGTTCTTGCCTTCACCTGTCCTTTGCACTAGTATTTGTTGTTTATAACGCTGCGACACATAACACGCTTAATTTTTGGGTCATAACTTTTTCGTCTTGTGTCATTCACCGAGTTCCCTTTGGAGATACCATCGACTGGCTCATTGGCTGCTGTGCGGGGAATTCGAGAGACTGGCATGTTGTAAGACTGTGCGATGCATGTTGCCGCATACGTGGCAAAACGTCACGAATAAAGAGGGCGGGAAAGTGTAAAACCTAAAAGAAATGTCTATAGGGGCACTAAGGTGGAATTTGAGATCATCTTTTTATGGCACGAACTCGACCTACACACCCTAAGCATCCTACAAGACCCAAAATTACAAATGTGCATAGCCTTTTCTGCCATTAAAGACGCAACGCAACATCGCAACATGTCCCTCTTTCTGAAATATCTTGGGGAAAAAGGGGCGTGTTGTGGTGTTTGACAGTGTTTTTAAGGGTGAAAAAGGCTATGAGCAATTGTAATTTTGGGTTTTATAGGATGCTTAGCGTACATCGATTGAGTTTGTGCCATAAAAAGACTAATCTCAAAATCCACTTTAGTGCCTCTTTAATGAGGTTAACTCGTGCCTACAGCTCGAAAAACAGGGTACTGCACATCTCGAGATTGTGTTGAAGATTTGACTAAGGATTGCTACAGCTGCTTTTATATACACACTATATTCAGGAAGGTTCTAAAGCAGAAGATGCAACATTTGGCAAGCATAAGCTGAAACTTTCTACAGGAACAAAGATTAGTAGAATAAATAGCTGTAGCCAGAGGGGTCTGAACTCCATGCCTCAGTGTGTCCGCTGCATGTGCTGCTAACTTCATCACACACCCGGCAATTGGAAGCGCAATCATTAGCTGTTTGTTCACAACTCCAAAACTAAGTATTTTTTTATCGTTTTCATGTTTGGGTTTACATTAGTTCAAGAGGAGTTGGAAAGTGTACCTCTAAGGAGGCATCAAGCTGTGTGTGGACACGAGAAGTATATGAATGAATGAAAAAGCAGTGCAATACAAACAGGGTTGGACATTCTCAGATTTTTCTTCCCTCGAAGTGGGGGAGAGGGGCAATAAGAAATGGCTTGTATTGTTGTTGAAAAAAACTTGAAAAACATTTTTTTCTCTTGTAACTCAATTAAATTTTTTGCATGTAGTAGCATAAGTATCCGAGGATCTGAGTATAGTTAGGACCCTTTTGTACTACAAATTTGGCTATAAGCTATCCAACATGACCTTCTGCATGCAGCATTCTTTGGCTACTGGGCTGTGGATGTGTTGTGAGCATGCGTAGTTAACTCACTTCTGCAGAATATCAGATGCCACGCATGCGTTAACAGCCCAATGACTCTGCCCTTTTTGCCTTGGCAATAAGCGCTGGAGAGATGCATAAATCTTCCAAGGCATTTATTTACAATTTTTTGTATCCGTCATGTATTTCTAAGGTGCTTTTATTCACGGTCTAATGTTTTTAGTACTTTCTTCACTGATAGGGGCTCGGTGGCTCCGAGGCGAGAGCGCCGGCCTACGGATCCCCATGTGGCGGGTTCGAATCCCGGCCGAGGTGCCCGCAATCTGACGGAGGCTTATTGCGGAGAAGGCGCTGTGTAACTGAGATTTCGGTTGCACGTCAAAAGATCCGCAGGTCGTCGAAATTAACCCTCAGTCTTCTGCTCGGGCGTGCCAGATGCCCGTCGTTGGTTTGGCACAAAAAAACCCCAATTTGACTTTTTTGACCGATAGGGGCTTCACTGATTGAAAAACAATGAAATAGAGCTCTAGATTGATCAACAAAACTGCATTCGTTCCACTGAGATGTGCCTTTCCAGCGTGAGCGTTCGTTTCACAGAATGTTTCAAAGCCGTGATTTTATGCTGTAGCCTTTGCTGCCCTGTAAGCTTAAGGGTGAATGAACAATATGGTATGCATTGGGTAATGTGCAGAGAGCACATTAATATTTGCGGCTGAAAGGATTGAACTGTAGCACCCCCATGGTGTGTACGAAAACATGGGTGATCAAGTAAACGGGCTCTTTCTGGTGCCTGCACGCTCACGGGTAGGTTTATTGCTTCTTCGGTCGCTCTGGCCTAGAACTTGCCGCCACTTCATAACAAACTCTCAATGCAACTAATAACATCCTGCCAACCTTGCAGGAGCCTTGGAAAAACCCAAGAAGAGGACATTGTTGGGCAAGATCCGAAAGAGGTTGAGCTTCAAGAAGAACCGCTCCAAGTCCGTGGAAGTCCGTCCGGATGCCGAGTCTGCGAGTCGGAGCAGCAGCCGCAGCGTCTCCACCGACCGCGCTAAGTCGGTGCCGCTTGGAAGTAAGTGTCTTCCTCGATCTGTATTGTTTGAACTGCTGTACCTTTGCATTTCATGCACATTTTGTAGTGAGAAAGCATGCGTGGGACAATTTGTGGGTGAGCCTTTACAAGCTGTATGCAGCTTGGCTTGACGTGTCCATTCGTAATGCTGCCATTTCTTCTCGAAAAACCATTCAGAGATATTTCGCGGGGCATAAATTGGTCACGCGTAGCAAAATGCTTCAACCTAACTGGGAGGTAGCCCCAGCAGTGAAGGCAGAATGCAAAGGCCCCAGTATGTTTACCTGAACCAAAAGGTTCAGGCTAGAATCTCCTTGTTAGATTAGTGATTTCTCTAAATAAACAAATAAATCAAAAAAATTTGGAATCCAAGATACAAAACCTTCTCCTGCCACGGCTCGCCCAAATATTGTGATTTTCAGTGCCAGTTGCAGTCGAGAAGGGTAGTTTCCTGCGGGGTAAGAAACTATCCTTTGTTTCCTTCCCCTCAGAATAGTTGACCCCTCAGGACAGTTCCCTGAAGGGTAGGAAACTGCAGCTCTTGTGAGCTCGAATAAATATTAATAGCAGTTATAATGATTGGGTTACTGATTATATTAATAATGTCACGGCATGCTTCACAAACGCGCTTTAACTGCTGAAAATAAAACTAGCTTATCATATGCCTATTTGCCGTGTTGGCGCATCGCAGATTTAAAGTAAATATTAGAATTGTGCGAATATTTGAAATTTTGAATAGTAGTTTCGAATGATGCACTATTCGATATTCGCTTTGAGGTGAACTTCAATAGTATTCACATTTTTGGAAGTGGTCGTAGTGTGTTAGCCCCATTGAGTACGCTCCTTACCGAGTATGGGTGCTTTGTGGAGAAGCAACCCCCCGCGAAAGTGAGTTTTGCGGGTGTTGCTTCTCCACATTGCACCGGTGCTGGGTAAGAAGCTCACTTAACGGGGTTATCTGCCGCGATCAGCATTTTAAAGAGTATGAAAATCGCAATTGCGTGCTTGGGAAAAAAGCATACTTTCAAAGCGGTATACTGCACGCACGCGACTGGTGTATTTAAAAAGAAACTGAGACTTTGTGCACATTGATCTGCATTGCAGTAAATTTTTCAAAATTAAACTGTGGCTGTTAGTCAATGTATATGTTAGGAAGAGGTGCACTGACAACCTGCGTTCATCATTTGGGAATCTTTTCTTTTTTTAAATTCTGAATTGAAATATTAATATTTGCATATAACAAGATTTGTAAATCCACTCAATTAGGTATAGCTGGACATCTCTGTAGGTTTAATATTATGTGAAATCCGGTGTTCACTTGCCATCCCAAAACATTAAACTTTCTGAGGTCATAGTCCATAAATATAGTTAAATTAAAATTAGCTTATTAATGGACAAGTGGAAGTTTGAGAGCAACTTTCACCAGTTTAGCTGGGTTTTTGTTTAAGCATAGTGCAACAGTGGTGGAAGGCTTAGAGAAACTATTCAATATTCGATTCGAAAATATTCGGCCAAAACCACTTCGAACTCAAAATCCACTATTTGCGTATGATTAGTAAATATAAATTTATAGTGTACACCAAAGGCCTAAACAGCTGCCTATGAAAAGAAGGAGTTAAACACGCGTGAAGACTACAGAGAAAAAAATTAATATATTGCCACGAATGACAAGGGATGAGGCGGCGAATCACTGAGTAAACTGAACGTTTAATGGGGCCAAAACAAAGAAAGGAAACAGAATATTACAATAGAGCGTCGCGGCCGTCGCTAGCAGCGTAACAGCAGGATTGATCGCTGGGGCGAGACTGACTGCGGCTCGCCACGCGGAGCCCCTTCTGCACATGCGTGGGCTTCTGGAACAATCGACGTAGAAGGTTCGACACATAGAACATTCGGACCTCGAACAAGCAACAGGATTCTCGAATTTACCAGGACACCAAATTGCAGGAATAAAAAAAAGATGCGTCGCTGCCAGGAACCGAACCCTGCTTTTCTTCGCACGGGAGGCAGGCACAATAACTGTTAGGCCAGGCACGCGCTGCCTTCTTGGCCCCTGGCGCGCGCAGCATTATGTTGGTGCTGACCAGCGTTACTAGATTGGCTCAGTTGACGAGGTCTGCATTGGTCGTGCTTCGGAAAGTTGACATAAAGCAAATTGAAATTAATGTGCTCATATAAGCACGTCAACAAGCGTGTTGCTGTACCAGGCACTGGAGCATGCATATATGCTCAAAACAATGAACTCTTTTCACATAAACAATGAGAGTGTCTCACAATTTGTACACTGTTGCTCTAGCAGGTACTGTAAAACTAACGGCTCTAATATCAACTGCCGGTGCACACATAAATCTCCAAAGTATGCACGCATGAATCTGCACTGATCAGCTGATCGGAAGTGATGTCTTGAAATTCTTACCCCTTAGGCACACGTCCCCGGAATGGCACGCACA